TAATTTTCGCTCTTGTACATTTTTCAGAACCGAACGCTGAATGTCAAGCTGCATTAACGTAAATAACTTGGCTTCCACTGACTTGTGACAGTTGTCTTCCTCAGTCTGCGTGGTTCAACTTTCAGATCCATTTCTAGCTGCCGACCAGATTCAGGATTTGATACGTCTACGCGTTGTGTTGCGGTATTTCTGATGCATTCCGTACTTTCCGTTATTCTGTCGCACTCGAGGATTACGAAAAGGGGGACATGCAGTACGAGGCATGCCACTGACAGAAAGAGGGCTTGCACCTGACTGGCCATGTGTGAGGTTGAGGTTGAGGCTGAAGCTGAAGCTGAGGCTGCGGCTGAGACTGGCGTCGCGCAGACCGGTTCCGCAGTGCTCTTCGCCTTCGTCGCTTGTGGTTACGGCCATAGTGTCGCAGCCACCAGTCCGCATTCCGACGTCTCTCCCGTCTGATCTGGTTCCGGTGCGCAGGCTGGAGGCTAGCGCTGTCATCTCGCCAGTGTGACCGGTTTGCAGCTCACGCTGCCTCGGGCAGAGTACCCCCACCGTTTAAAGGGCCGTGGCCGGAAAACGGCGTTGCATTGCATGACTAAAAGCCGCGGGCTCTTGGAGAGACACTAAACTTGAAGGTCGCCCGCGCGTGTCAGCCCAACTTTCGCCACAGCCACGTTTCGATAGTCGAAGGACACGCTATGTTTAAAACGACTGAAACTCGTCGCATCGCTCTCACTGCCTGACGCACCGACAGACCGACCGAACGTTTGCACTCTTTGCACCTCACGGACATGATCCTTCGGAGCAGCGCCGCCAAAACAGAATATACCTGCGATCGCAGCCACCAATGCCAGCCGAACGTGCCGCTGTCGATGGACGAGGCGTCCTACCGTCTGGTCGCGTTCCTCGCCTCCGTGTTCAGCACGGTTACCGTAATCACGTGTTTGGTATGTGTACCCCTGATGTACGAGTACGTGCAGATGGTGCAGTCGGAGCTGGACCACGAGCTGAACTTCTGTCAGGTACGACGAGCATGCGTTTGTTCATAGCAAGACTGTGGTAACCTTTAACTTTCACGTCATCTCCAGAAAAACAACGAACGGTTTGGCCACGACATCCTTGAGCTGAAGACTTTGCAGACGCTTTCTGTTTCTGGTCGGCAAAAGCGGGCTTCGCCGTACGTCACGCACGACTCTGGCTACAAAAGTCATCCTCATTCGTACAGAAGCTCGTATGTGGACTCGGCAAATGATGTCTCTTACCATTCATCGAACAACGGCTACAGAGTAGGAACGAATGGCAACTTCAATTTAGAAGGTAGACTCTCCATGACCATTTAAATGACCGTTGTGCGACTTTTTCTCTGTAGGTTGTCCTTGCGTGCAAGGCCCATTAGGACCACCTGGCCCGCCAGGAAAAGATGGTCAAAATGGAGAAGATGGGTTACCCGGAAGTCCAGGTACTCCAGGAATCCCGGCCACAGCTAAGCTTCAACTGCCACAGTGGTGGAACTGTACCGTATGTCCACCAGCAAGTTCAGGCCCAACGGGAATCCGCGGGCCCAAAGGGTCTACTGGACCACGCGGAGAGAGAGGACTGCCCGGAGATGTTGTCTTGGGAGTACGGAAAGGAAATCCGGGTGCACCAGGAGTTCAAGGGCCACCGGGAAGGGCAGGAAATCCCGGCATTCCTGGAACCCCAGGGAAACGGATTTTCATGGAAGGTCGCGTTGGTCGTCCCGGTGATCGTGGGCCACCTGGACCGCCCGGCCCTATGGGACCCGACGGAATGCCCGGAATGCCAGGACCAGAAGGTAACGAAGGCATTCCAGGAGACGAAGGAATGGCCGGAATGCCTGGCAACGTAGGTGGTGTAGGTCCGCCCGGTCCGCAAGGGCCGCAAGGAAAACCAGGATCTTGTAACCACTGCCCTCCTCCTAGAACTGCGCCCGGATATTAGTTGAAAAGTTTGAAAGGTCGCAAAGGCTATGTAGATGGAATTTTGCGGCCAATGTTTATCTCTGCCGAAAATGTATGCGATTTTATTTTTGTTGTGAAAGTTTGAGTTGTTTCAGAGCACTGCCTCATAGGCAGTTGCATGCTTAAATAAAATTTTGAGCTTTCTGATATACCGTTTGAAATGTGATTTTTTTCATTTTATATTATTTTTATTCTGACTGCTTACAGTAGCCAACGCCACAGAACCCATATATCAGTGAATTTTGCTCCATTTAAAACAAAATAAAATAAAAGACTTGATTTGGCACACTCAGAGATATTATTGTCAACGGAAATAAAGATAACCCTTAGTTTCTCATCGTATATTTACCTATACGATAGGTACCTTTGCGATTTACCTATATGATATTCTTCTTTTTCATATATCATTATGAAGAAAACTAATCACGGAGTGCTATACAATTTTATGACAGCATGAAATCAAATCAGATCTGGAGAGCAATGTGAAAAATGATGAGGCGTCAAAAGCAGCAAATGCTGAAATTCACCTCATTTAGTCCTAAAACTTACGATCGCGCTGGAAGTATTTCGGATTGAGGCAAAACAGAACAGGGCCATAATTCGAACATTATTACGATGTTTTCGCAGCCCTAAAGAGGTGTTACATTTTAACGGCGCGACAAGTAAAATATTTAAATTTGGACTGATTATTATTTATTTTCCCATTCTTTGTTTGTTGGGTTTATTTCGTCTTACGCAATCATGTTATTAATTTTTCTCAATTACCGTCATTTTGGATTAATCAGATCCAAGTTCCTCTTTGTTGAGCATTTTCCAGCGGATGGTTATTCGACAGTCCGTTCAGAGTGCCAGCCCTCGTGAATTATTTTAGTCTCTTCCCATGTTTTATCTAGTAAAATAGATTCAAGGAATTTTTGCACTTCTGAGATATTTCTCACGAGCGTATATCATGGTCAAATGGCGGACAACCACCTTCGCAAGTTACCAGCTTGTGCAGCGGGTTCCTGTGCAGATCCTCATTTCTGGAGTAGAAACTGTGCTGCAATTCAACATTCGCATTATAATTTTATGCCATACCTGAATATATAATTTAACTTAACCGAAGCACCATAAGCTTCTAGCGGGCGTGGAATGATCTGGTGTATTTTGCAGCATTCTGTACTGAATTAACTAAGTTTCCATCTGGTCCCTGATTCGCTGAAAATTTTCCACATCCACACAGCCGGACCTTCC